AAATAAAACCACCACCCAGAACCAAAAACGAAGGGCAAAAAATTTCAAAGAGAAAGAGAACAAATGAAAAATTGAGGAAAAAAAAGGTAGTCCCATGAAAGAAGATTTAACAAAGAGCTCTTATAACTCAGTAAGATGAGCACCAAGGTTTAAATATGGGCAGAAAATATGAAAAGACATTTTACCAAAATGAACATTCGAATGACCAATAAATGAAAAGATGCTCATTTATGCTTTTAACTAAAGAAATGTATTTTTTTTTTAAATGTTTTATTTATTTCTAGGAGAGAGAGAGCGCGAGCAGGGGAGGGTCAGAGAGAGAGGGAGTCTCAGACTGAAACAGGCTCCAGGCTCCGAGCTGGCAGTCAGCACAGAGCCCGACGCGGGGCTCGAACCCACGAACCGCGAGATCATGACCTAAGCAAAAGTCGGACGCTTAACCGACTAAGCCACCCAGGCGCCCCTAAAGAAATGTATTTTTAAAAATGTTTTATTTATTTCTCAGAGAGAGAGAGACAGCGTGAGCAGGGGAGGGTCAGAGAGAGAGGGAGTCACAGACTCTGAAATAGGCTCCAGGCTCTGAGCTGGCAGTCAGCACAGAGCCCGACACGGGGCTAGAACCCACGGACCGCGAGATGACCTGAGCTGAAGTCAGACTCCCAACCCACTAAGCCACCCAGGCACCCCAGGAAATATATTTTTTTAAACTATTTATTTTGAGAAAACAAGCGAGCCAGGATGGGGAGGTGGGAGGAGCAGAGAGAGAGGAGAGAGAATCCCAAGAAGGCTCTGCACTGTCAGCACAGAACCCTGCATGGGGCTTGATCCCACAAACTGTGAGATAAACTGAACTGAAATCAAGAGTCGGATGCTTAACTGACTGAGCCATCCAGGCACCCCAAGAAATGTATTCTTAAGTAGACTCCATGCCCAACTTGGGGTTTGAACTCACAGCCTTGAGATTAAAAGTTGCATTCTATACTCAACTGAGCCAACCAGGTGCCCCAGGAAATGTATTTTAAAATATCATTACTGATATGATTGCCGAAGGTTAAAAAGTTTTATTTTGTGTGTTATTGTGTGACAGAACAGACATTTCTCATACTAGTGGGAGAGTAAATTATTGGAACTGCTTTGAAAGCCAATATAATGAGATCTATCAAACATTTTTTTAGAGAATTTGGATTTATGAGAGAGTTGCAAAAACAGTACAGAAGGTTCCCAGTCGCCTTAATTAATTGTTGTGTCTCTGACAGTTTGTCAGTCTTTTCCTTGTTTTTCATCATCTTGACACTTCAAAGAGTGCTGGTCAGGTGTTTCATAGAAGGTCCCTCAGTTTAAGTTCCCCTGAACTTTTCTCCTAGTGCATTGTATTAGGTGGTATATGATGTCAGTGTGGCTCAGTAATGCCATTTACCTTGATGACCTGGCTAAAGTGATGTCTGACAGGAGTCTCCACTATGTGCCCTTTGTAGTTTGCTAAATGTTTGGGAGGCAATAAGATCTATAAAATTTTTTTAATGTTTATTTATTTTTGAGAGAGCGAGAGCATGCATGTGCACAGGCAAGCAGGGGAGGGGCCCGAAAAGGGCTCTGTGATGTGGGGCTCAAACTCACAAACCATGAGATCATAACCTAAACTGAAGCCAGATGCTTAACCAAATGAGCCACCTGGGTGCCCCGAGGTTTATCAGTTTTAAATGCCTATGACCCAGCAGTACCACTTACTGAAATTTGCCTACACCTGTCTGTGATTTAGTTCATCACTTGCAAAATGAGGATGACCAGTGGCCCCCTCAGAGCTGATGGGAGGATTCAGTGAGTGCTGTATTTGAAACACTTGATCAGTGCCTTACATCCAGTAAGCTCCTTGCTGGTTCACCCTCCCTTCCCAGAGCCCCTGGAAGCCAGCTGTGTTTGGAATTCAGAATTCAGAGGATAATAAGATGTGCTTATATTATTACATGACAGCCCCAGCAGGATCTGCAGCAGCACCCCAATATCAGACACTAATCCCTCTGCAGCAAAACATGAATATTCACATGAAGGGAGAAAGATAAAGACTGTAAGTAGTTTCAGGTGAACTTCTGATCAGACCTTGATCTGAGTTCAGGTCAGGTTTTATTGCTGGTTAAGTTTTTAAAAGTCCCTTTGGGTTTTTAGAGCATTTTGGATTTCAGGATTGTGGATAGGGACGGCACACCTGGATAGGAGTTTGCAGACACAGACCTGGATGTGAAAGGGTGTTCGTGGCAGCATGCTTAGAAATAAGCCTAGAAAATCCTGAATGGTCCTCTGCAGGAGACTGGTTAAATAAGTCGTGGCACAGTAGTGCCGCATTCAGACCTTTTAAAAGAAAAGGGCACACCATCATATGCCACTAGGAAAAGTACGATAAAGGTGTATTACTAAGTGATTGACGACATTTACAGAACAGTGTGAATGATCTTGTTTGCATTTAAAAATCTGTATGTCATTGCTCGTTTATACATTACGAAACATTTAGAATGACCTCTGGAAGAGTGGCTGTGTATTAGAATTCCCCTGAGAAGATTGAAAAATACCAATACCTGGGCCCTTCTCTGAAGCCATTGAATTGGAGGGGCGACTGGGTGGCTCAGTCAGTTAAGCATCAGACTTTGGCTCAGATCATGAACTCACAGTTTGTGAGGTCGAGCCCCGCTTTGTCAATACAGAGCCTGCTTTGGATCCTCTGTCTCTCTGCCTCTTTCACTCTCCAAAATATTAAAAAAGCCTTTAAAGCCGCTGAGTTGGGAGTGGAGGAGTGGAGCCCGTGCTTGGGCCCCAGGTGGTGGTGGTGTCCTGTGAGGGTCGACAGCACCTTGAATACGAGGGGTGCTGATATCAGGTGGGAAGAGGGAGACCTTCCAATTTCATACTTTACTGTGTGTTTTTCTCCCCAGTTGCACTTGTAGTTTTATATTTATTTTTTTAAAGTTTAAAACGTGTAGAAAAAGACTGTTGTGATTGAAATCAGATATAAGGCAGTGGAAACACGTTATTGGCAGACAACGAAGAATTTTCCAGAAGTTCAGGATTGCTGAGCTTTACTCTCCTTTAATATGCACAGTGCTTGCTGATTGCAGCTGATAATCGATTTTTTACAAAGTTCTTTTCTGCTTTCATCCTGAGAGACCAGAAGCTGGTGAGGAAGGCCCCGGCAGAGGCTGAGGTCAGTTCTGAGCTTCAGCATTCTGGTGGTGCTTTATTTCGGGTGAGTTGCGAGGGTGCACATTTATCTCCATTGAGACTCCCACACTAGTAATAATTTTTCAGAAGGAAGAGGTCTCCTGGCGACACACTTCGATAGAAATACTTTAGGGCGCCAGCCGGCCCCATCAGCTCCTCTCTGTGCTTACTCACGTCAACTTAACCTGGAGGTTGAGTCCCGCGTGGTCTTTCCTTCCCCCCTTCTCCTTCCTCCCTCCTACCTCCCTTGTGGCCCACACCTGGCTTAAAAACGTCCCTATTCTCAGAAATACCGTTTATTGTGCGTGCCGCCCTCCCTCTGATAAGGTCCTGTTTTATCTGGCTCACCAAAGCTATCTGGAAAGGTCGGCTTTCCTTGTGTTTTGTGCCCAGTGCTGGTATCTAGGCGGACCTGGTCTTGGGCTGGAGCCCAGGAACAAAGCTGCTGGCTCCCTTCCTGTAAGCTGTGTCTGGGTCTCTCTGGAGAAGGGGAGTCCTGCTGTGTGTTTCTCCTGATAAGTGGAGAGAGAAGCAGGCATTCAGAGCAAGTCTGGGCCAGCGCCTCTTGCTGGCAGCGCCCTGCAGGGGTGAGGGGCGGGGTGGGGGTGGGGGTCCACCGCTGTTGGGACTTACTCGGCAGGCATCCACAGTGCCAGGCTCTTTCCTGGCTTTGCTCGACAAATGCTTTAATTGGGTGTTATTAGTAATTCTGCCCAGCGTGAAAAACCCTCTCTTATTAAGACTCCAATCAAAAAGGCCTCTTTGGAGAATAATGAGAAATGGATTTTCCCCCCTAAAGTGGCATGGAAGCATTTAATATTTGCTACTGCTGTTTACAGAGATGATTAATTCCCAGCCTGTACTGGAGAGGCAGGTACTACACTTATCCCCATTTTACGGAGAAGGAAACTGAGGTGCACAAGAAATTATTATGTGCCCGTGGTCTCGAGCCAGCAGATGATGGGTGTTCAAGATGATGCACCCTCCCATGGGCCTGTCCTGGGGAGCCTGGCCCACCAACGGGGGGGTCCGGTGGGGGACGCACACCAGTGTGGGCTGGGGGGCGGGGCGCTGTCCACGTGGTCTTCTCCTTGGATGGCTTCTCGTCTTAAAGGCAAAAACGCCTTCCCGTTGGCTGTGACAGTGGCCGTGGCCTGCTTTGGGTACAGCACTGCTGGTGTGGCGGCTTATTTGCTTGTTTTCTTTGACAGATTCTCACCCAGCCTTTGAGATGATGGGACTGGGAAACGGGCGCAGGAGCATGAAGTCGCCGCCCCTGGTGCTGGCCGCCCTGGTGGCCTGCATCATCGTCCTGGGCTTCAACTACTGGATTGCCAGCTCCCGCAGTGTGGATCTCCAGGTGTCCGCTGGTTTGTTCGCATGGGTGTCCGAATGTATTGAAAGTTGCCAAGTGGTAGGGTCTTAGGGCTTTGCCATTTACCGCCCCCCGAAGCATTATGCTCAGTGGTTTGTGCCCTCGGTACCCTGAGTTTGGGCCTCCACATATCCACACCCCCAGCCTGGGGCTGGACTCCGCCCACCAGCTGTGCCCTGGGGTGAGGGAGGACCTCTTTGTGATTTAGGATTGCTGCCCCTCTCTGCTTTTAGTCAAGCCACTGGGGCTGTTCTGGGAAGGCCACTTACTTGATTATACTGACCACAGCTTGTCAAGTTCCGCAGTCCACCCTGGGTCTCAGCAGTGTTGGGAATGTACCTGCATCATGGGTGTGAGAAATGTGTGTGTAGAGCTACCACTTGTTACTGGCAGCTTAAGGATATGAATTTTAGCTTTCCTTTTTTATTGTTGGCTATCGCAGGTCAGTCAGGTGTTAAGCAATGACAGAGACTCTTGTTGACCAGACTCTGACTCCCGTTCCTCACTAGGCCTCCATCTTGGCCTCCCCACACCCTTTCTGTCTTCAGAAAGTGGGGCCCCCACCCCGCTTAACGAAGAACCCTGCTAAGTCGTCCCTACCTCCTGATATCTGATCAGGCACCTGCTCCCTCTTCCTTGAAGTCTGAGCCCTTGGCCTCCTGTTAGCAAGAAACCCCCCTGCCCTTCATGTTTTCCTCTTAATACTTTCCAGTCACTGACCCCTCACTCTGTTGGCTCTAAACCCATAGCTGTGTTAGATGTGTTCACAGTGGAGCAGTCTCTCCCCTACTGCATAGACATGACTCCTGTTGGCAGGAGTCCTGAAGCAAGTTTTCCTTGCCATGTTAACTGGTGTGAGAATACTTGTTAACAGTGCTTTACATACATTTGTACACAAACTCTAAGTTTGGGACTTCATTTTCCCCATTTCCTGGGTGGGCAGACCGAGGCACAGAGATGTAAAGTACAAGAGCAGTTCGGATTCCAACCCAGTCTTTCCACTGCTGGTGTGGGGGCTTTCCAGTGGCAGAGCTTGGGCTCTTAGCCATGAAACCCCATCCCATCTGAGCATCCTCACTCCTGCCTACCCTTGAGGGGGGTGCTTTCATCTGATCTTCCACTGGAGCTGTTCTCTCTCAATAGATGTGGGCCTGGTGTCCAGTGTTGAGGCACTGAATTTGTCTTCAGAGGTTTTGTCTGCCAAAGAGTTAAGTGCTCTGTCAGCAAGGGAGGGAAACGGAACTAAATATTTGGGCACCTGGTAAAGCATGTGGCACTTTATGTACTTCCCTCATTCCAGCCTCCTGGAGCCCCTGGGAGGGGTGTGGTGGTACTTCCTTGGAGGTTAGTGGCCATGAGGAAGCCCAGAGGAGTGAATCCCTCTACTTAATAACACTGTTTCTCTAGAAACCCCTGTCATAGTCTTGCACGCTTCACTTCCAGTATTGTTCTTAACAGACAGAACCCCTTAAAGCCCATTTTTGGGAGGAAGTGGTTTATTCTAGGAAGAGAATTTGCAGACATTCCATGTGGGCTTTGCAGAACCTCCAGAGAAGGTGTGTGGCACCAGGCATCTGCACAGTTAGGAAGCGGGGGTGTCCGACTGGGAAGGGGACCCGGGAGGGAAGGTCCAGCAGGGCTGCCCGAGGGGCCCTGCACCACCTGCATCCCGCCGGCTCTGGGCCCTGGTGCCGGCATCAGGGAGGGAGAAGGCCCTCAGGGTCCGCGCGGGGTTCTCCCTCACAAGCCCGTGGTGTCCCTGTAGACGCGGGTCCTGGAGCTGGAGGGCAGGGTCCGCAGGGCGGCCGCCGAGAGAGGCGCGGTGGAGCTGAAGAAGAACGAGTTCCAGGGGGAGCTGGAGAAGCAGCGGGAGCAGCTGGACCGGATCCAGTCCAGCCACGACTCGCAGCTGGAGAGCGTCAACAAGATATACCAGGATGAAAAGGCAAGGCCCGTTTTGGTTCCCCCTCGCTTCTCCAGGTACCAGTTGAGACACCATCGAATTGCTCTCCATGGGAGAATGAGCGACCACGTGGGGATTTCTGTGATGATGTGGAATGGGCCTCTTGATCGTTTTGTGACATATTAACTTTTTTCTGTGCTGTACATGGTGTCTCTGCCTTATTTGTTTTAGGCGTGGAGGTTTGTGTCTCTTCATTCCCTTCCCCAGTTTTACCCACCCCCCACCCTCTATCCCTCTGGAAACCACCAGATTGTTCTCTGTCTATGAGTCTTTATTTTTAGGTTCCATAGGTAAGTGAAATCATAAAGCATATTTATCTTTCTCTTGATTTATTTCATTTGGCACAGTAGCCTCTAGGTCCACCTGTATTGTTACAAATGTCAAGATTTCATTCTTTCTTTATGAATGGGTAATATTCCATTGTATATTTGTACTACGTCGTCTCTGTGGTAATATTCCATTGTATATTTGTACCATGTCATCTCTGTGGATAATATTCCGTTGTATATTTGTACCACGTCATCTCTGTGCCTTCATCTATCCACGGACACTGGGGTTACTTTCATACCTCAGCTATTGTGAATAAATGCTACAGTGAACATAGAGTATTTTTTCAAATCAATATTTGTATTCAGGTCAATACCCAGAAGTGGAATCGCTGCATCACATGGTATTTCTGGTTTTGATTTTTTGAGGAGCCTCCATATTGCTTTCCACAGCGGCTGTGCCAGTTTATATTCCCACCAGTAGTGTGGGAAGGTTCTTCTTTGTCCACATCCTCGCCAGCACTTGTTGTTTCTTGTCTCTTTGATTTTAGCCACTGACAGGTGTGAGGGGATATCTCATTGCGGTTTTGGTTTAGAGAAATGCTCTTTTCACATACGACATTCACAAATGTGTATTTCTTCTCTGGAAATTTTTCCATTTTCAGTGTTGTAGTAAAGTGCTTCCTCGTTTTTCTTAACTTCTCTTATAGGTGGGTGGCACTATTTATGCTCCTTAAATCCCCTGGAACTGATTAGAATAGGACCTAGACATCCCTCACAGTGTGGACACAGAACCCCTTAAGGCGGATTTCGGGAAGAACGAGTTCATTCTCCAGGAATAGAGTGTGCAGAAACTCCTTATGGGCTTTACTGATGTGCAGAGAAGGTCTCGGCCCTCAGGCCTCTGGTGGGTCAGGAAGGAAGTGTGTGGTGGGAACTGGGGAGTGTTGGGCCGGAAGGGGACCCGGGAGGGACCAGAGGACTGGGCTGAGATGGGCTCCTTGTCCGACCAGGGTCAGGTGGGAGGGACTGTCCGGCCCGTTGAGTGCTTCCTCAGCACCCAGCGGGGTCTAGAAGCAGTTGTTCCTGTGTGCAGGGAGTGAGGAAAGATAAGGGGGACATTTCATCTGTCTGCCTGCATGAGCACTTCTGTGTGTACGTCTGTGTGTCATTATCTGAGTCTTGAACTCTCCTCCTTAGGAAGATTGGTCTTATACTCTGAGCCTCTGGCCTTTCTATGTTTTTATTTTTGAAGTTTTTCTTTCTGAAATGGTAGCAATGGAAGGTAGGATGGGTGTGTGTCCATGTGTGGTGTTTGGTTGTTGCTCTTAAGTGTCCTTTTTTCCTTTATTCATTTTTAATGTTTATTCATTTTTTTTTGAGAGAGGGGGAGAGAGACAGACTGAGTGAGTGGGGGAGGGGCTGAGAGAGAGGGAGACAGAATCCAAAGCAGCTCCAGGCTTTGAGCTATCGGCACAGAGCCTGATGTAGGGCTCGAACCCACAAACTGTGAGATCATGACTTGAGCTGAAGCCTGATGCTTCAATGACTGAACCAACCAGGTACCCCCCACCCCAGCACCCTTTTAATGTAAATATCTTTGTTCTCTTAACTCCGTCAGTCTACCAAGTGCTTTTGAAATTTTACTGGCCTGTGAAATCCAAAATTCTGGGAGTGATAATCTCACTGTGTTCAGTCTCCTCCAAACATCTGAGTTATTTCTGTTTGTTGCATGAAAGTGTGGGTGCATGTTTGGGTGGGGAGAAGGAAAAGAGGTCGCAGGTTAATTTCTGCTTGTGGGCATTCTGCTTGAGTGTGTGCACACACTAATTTGGCTCCAGACCTCTGTAAAATGGGCTGCAAACAACTAGGCTTCCTGTATAGGGTGGGCACACTCCTCAAAGAAGGTGCTGCATAAAACCATTTGTCACAGAGATTTCTAGATAATGCAGTCAGTGAAGCATCATCCCACAGGTGAGTCCTCAAGATAGAAATGCTGGTTCATTTCAGTCACAAACTTGGAATTGTTTGAAATATGATTGAGCTCTGGAGTTCCTGGAAAGCTCTTCCAATATAGGAAGAAATGAGAGGGAACATCTTCCGGCCGGAAACCAAGTGACTCTTTCACCTTGGTTCTTTTTTTTTTTTTCTTAAATGTTTAATAATTTTTGAGAGAGCGCAAGCAAGGGAGGGGAAGAGAGAGACAGAGACAGAGACAGAGGATCTGTACTGATAGCAGAGAGCCTGGTGCAGGGCTTGAACCCATGAACCACGAGATCATGACCTGAGCCAAAGTTGAATGCTTAACCTACTGAGCCACCCAGGTGCCCCTCACCTTAGTTCTCAATACTTCAGTTTTACGGCTTCTTTTTAAAAGGGGGCATAATGCAAGGTCTTAGCTGTCCTGCCCCACACCCAATTCAAGAATTGTTTGGGGATTCAAGGTGGGGGGAGGCTCTTGTATTTGCAATAAACAACTTAATGGTAGGGGCACCTGGGTGGCTCAGTCGGTTAAGAGTCCAACTTCAGCTCAGGTCATGATCTCACGGTTCGTGAGCTCAAGCCCCACGTCGGACTCTGTGCTGACAGCTCAGACCCTGGAGTCTGTTTCAGATCCTGTGTGTCTCTCTCTGCTCCTCCCCCACTCATGCTCTGTCTCTGTCTCAAAAATAAATAAAACAAACAAAAAAATTTTTTTAACAACTTAATGGTAGATACTGAAAATTGAGGAGTCCCAGTAAAGAGGATGAAACACGCATGTGAAAAACAGCCAGCCAGCCTCTGGGGAAGAATAAGAGTCACTTTTCATTTGAAGTTTTTAACGTTTAGAATATATGATATAAAGTTTGTTTAATTTGGGGGGCGCGAGGGCTAGCTTCTTACTTCTAGGAGGATCTGAGTTATAGCTTAGTGTGGTGGTAAAAGGCATGGGGTGTTCAGTCAGGCAGACCTGGGTTCAAATCCTGTTTTCCTTAGCTCCATGATATCAGGCAAATCACTTATGTTCTCTAGGCCTGTTTTTTCAGCTCTGGAGTGAGAATAACAACAGAATCCCCGTTATAGTGTGACTGTGAGGATTCTGTGAGATAATATTTATGAAAGGCTTAACACAATGCTTGACATGGACTAGAAGCTCAAAACCGGGTAGCTAGTGTTATTACAACTAGTCCCAGTGATCATAGTTAACAATAATAGCACAGAATTAGGGGTAGTAGTAAACCCCAGCATCAGTAGTGGTAATGCTGTTCTTTTTGGTAAGACTTTTCCCCCCAGATTGAAACCATGAAACAAAATTACCCTGCTTTTAAGAAAGGATTAAAAATATGCTGGGGTGTACATGAGAACGGAGAGTGAACAAAGCAGCTGGGCCACAGGAAGAATGCAATAAGTGACAGTCACCACACCAGTGACGAGAGCTCACATTCACAGAGTCTCTTCTTAGCCAGGCACCAGGGTAAGAATTCCACAGGGATTGTGCCCTGTATTTCTCTCAACGGCCTCATGAGATTGTCACTCAGGCTTACAGAATTCACAGCCACCCCCCAGGATGAGGCCTAGACCCTGGACCGCCCACAGGTGAGCCGCCCTTGGCTCTGTGAAGACACAGGGCCATGGGCGGGGGCCGGGGGGGGTGCGGCCCTCCAGAGCTCCCCATTACCTAAATAACATGGGGGCATGGTGGGGCTGCAGGAAACAAGTCTGGCCCGATTCCACAGTTGTTGAAATAGGTGATGGGACCCTGTATGTATCTCTTGTGCTTCAAAAGACCGTGGTATTCCTGCTAGCTCTCCTTTGGCCCTCATTCCAAATTTTCCGGCAAAAATACCTGATGCTTTCATATATGGCCAGGAAGTTCTCAGAGAAGTAGGGCTGGTCTGTCACCCCAGTGTGTTATCTCTGTTTTTTTTTTTTTTTTTAATTTTACGTTAGGAAGGTAGTACTTGTAGTTTGAATTGGAATGAGGCTCTTTCTCAGAATGATAGAGGGTCATCTGGTGGTCTAATAGATCCCCTGGTACATACAGCCGTTGACCAACTAAACTGTGGTTAGTAGCTCTGAGGAACTGAAGTTTGAATTTTATTTAGTTTTAACTACATTTAAATAGCCGAATATGGGACAACACAGGTGTGAATGATAGAGGCAGAACTCTGGTAATAAGGCTGGGTTCTGCTGCTGATTAGTAGTCCTGTTCTGTGGGAGAGCATTTGGGCCAAGGCTTGGTCTCCTTTGCTTCTCTGGTGTCTTTCCCCTCTCTCTGTTTGGTTCAGAATTGGGCCTTGTGAGGGGCACCTGGGTGGCTCAATTGGTTAAGCGTCTGACTCCAGCTCAGGTTATGATCTCATGGTTACAGGTTTGAGCCCTGTGTTGGGCTCTGTGCTGACAGCTTGGAGCCTGGAGCCTGCTTCAGATTTTGTGTATCCCCTTTTCTCTGCCCCTCCCCTGCTCACGCTCTTTCTCTCTCTCTCAAAAATAAAATAAACATTAAAAAAAAAAAAGAATTGGGCCTTGGGAGGTGAGGTCACCTTGTGATCGGGCGACTAGTTTCCCTATGAATGCGCCTGTCACTCACTAGTATCGGTTATGGAGAATTATCAGTTGAGCTTATCAAGTTGGCACTTAGGAACGAACTTGTTACGGAAGTTGTTTTCGAGAAACCAGGCCTTGCCAGGTAGCATATCACAATCACTTGGGAGCTTATGCAGGCAAATAACAGGT